TAATTTTGGTTTATATTTATTCATATCTACATTTATTTTTTCCAGCTAAACTTCTCAATGAGTCTTCATAAAAAGAATATTGTATGATATTTTGAACTTTCTTTCATTAACTTCCTTGCATTAAATATAACAACATGCTAAGAAGTTGTCCTCAAATTCAAGGAATATTCAGCTTTTACTATGTAATAATTTTTACGTATAGCAATGGAATCATTTAAACCTTTTTGAAATGTCTAATACCAAAATAAGGAATAGTGATTTTTAAGCAATTTATCAAAAAACCATATATAAAGAGTTGGCCTTTATTTTTCTCCTTAGATGTGGACATATTTGCTGGTCAGTATTACATCATTTGCATAGGCATTGTGTGGGAGTGGCTTGTTATGGGCTGAACCCATTCAAGAATTTGACCAAGGCTGTGAATCATGTAAGTGTCAGAGCAGTTCCAAAACATTTCAGACTATAGAGTGTTATGTAAATTTTTCTGAAAAGATTCCATTGTTGAAATGCAAAGTGGGATTTTTTAGCTCAAAGTTTTATAATATGCAATGTCTTTAGAATTATTTACTGGGAAGGGGATCCTACTAAATTCAATTGAAATTGTATTTTAAAGAAACAAGCATTATTCTCATGAAAAGTATATACAAAAGTCCTTACTAAGGACACACACACACACACACACACACACACACACACATTTGTACTGGGAATCCAACTCAGGACCTCACGCTTGCCAGGTAGGCGCTGTGCCACTGAGATATATCCATGTCCTATTTATTAAAATATGGTATACCGAATAACTTACATTATTTTAAGACACAAATACAAGACATAACCCACTTTTTAAAATTGTTAGACTAGGTTTATTATATGTTATATTCCAGATCACATTTATACAAAACAAACATTCATGAATTATAGAAAAGCATATTTTACCTTTTATGAGATTAAAGACTTAAATCTAGGTTTCAAAATATATTTTTGAAAGTATTGAACCCTTATTCTCTTAAACATTTAATCAATCATCAAGTGATGGTTTTTAAAAATCTATGTTTTACTTTAAATTTTCCTGCTTTTGGTTATCTGTCTGCAAGCAGGATTTAAAAATATGTGATCTCCAGTTCAGTTCAACAAATATTTTTTCAACAATTTGTACTGGAAAATATAAAATTCCATGAAGTTGAGGGTAAAATATTGAAATAACTCCTCCTCATTTTCCTACTGAATAGTTTTCCAGAATTAGATTACCATAACTGAAAGTAATTCTGTCCTATTAAGATAGATTTAGTTTTAGGTGCAGTAGTTTGAAATCATGCAACTATATTTGCTGTTGATTAGAAGAAGAGGGCAGAGACATACAATTTTAAAGTGTAATTTTTTATTGTGTGCGTTTGTAATCCATAATGATTACTTTTGTCTTGGAGGTTTGATACATATACTTGTCACATCTTGATCATTTTTGTTTTCTCTCACTTGCCCCCAACTTATTCACTCCCTTTTCTTCAGATCCCTTTCCTGTATGTACAAGGTCTACCTTCCTGTTTCTTTCATTTCTTTTGGACTGTCTTGCTTTGTAGTTTAGGATGGCCCTGGAACTCACTGTGTAGCCCTAAGCTTGTCTCTTAACTTGCAGCGATTCTCTTTCCTCAGCCTCCAGAGTGCTGAAATTATATGTGTATGCCACTATGCCCAGTTGTTTACCTCCATGTTCTTAACATGTCTCTTTTATTTGCTCTTTAAATTATTTATATTTTCAGCCTCTTAACCTTTTGTGACTGCCTTATTTCACTAAAGCAGTTTAGATAATGAACAAATAAATGGTTGCTTCTCTATACTAGGAACAATAACTTGTTATAGATGACATATTAGTATACTAGGGCTTTTAGAAAATCAAAAGGGAAATGGCTGCTTCATGCAACAATGCCTTTCAAAAAGCTTGCACTATTTTTCTCCTTCTTCTTTGATTGCCTCTTCTCAATCTGTGTACTCTGTTCTTTGAAAATTCACTAAGGACTGTGTTTCAGAAATACAATTCTCAAGGGTGTGGCCTGCATATCCCTAAACATTCCCCAAGACATTTTCTGGAAATTCTTAGATTAAATTCATTTTATAATAAGTCTAAGACATTATTTGTAAAACTGCTGAAAACTTATTGCAATAAAGATAATTATTTCAAGTGCTACTAGTAAGCATTGTATTCTCCACTGTGTCATACTTGAATTTAAGAATTTTCTTGTTGAAACAATAACTAATTCTCAATTCTAAAATATACTTCTTTTTGATATTCTACTTTAAAATATTTAATAGCATATGTTTGTAATACATAATGAATGTACTCATTATGTGGTATTGGTACATATGCATATCACATCTTCATCCTAATTACTTACCCTTTCCTACTCTCCCTCATAAAGTTTCATAAAGTACTTCAGCTGCACCCAGAATTAAAGTTATCTAAAGTCAAAACACTTGTGGAGCTTTTTGAGGTATCAACCTGTTTTTTTTATAGATCACCATTTTTACCTGAAACAATAGTTGGTCAATGATTATTACATAAATTTGGGTATTTGCTACATTTTTTTCAAAAATTGATGAAGTGAGCCTCTTAATAGAAAAAATAACTAGAAATATTTTTGTTAATGATGTGATTACAAGTTATAAGCAAAAATTTGAATGTTTGTGTTAACTTGATCTTAATACTTTAATAGTTTAATACTTAAAAGATTTTTCTGGTAAGATTGCTGGATCACTATGGGAAGACTGATATAACTAAATTAAATTATATTTTGACTTGACCAATGTATGATATAATTAAGTCAGGCACAAATGCAAAATCCATTCGAAAATGCAAGGTAGACCACTGAATTTTTTGTGTAATTGAAGACAGACAGTTAATGTATATAGTTCTAGAGTCTCCAATTCTAGGGACCTTTAAGAAACTGCCATTTGTCAAATTCTGTCATGTCAGCAGAGTACTAACCACTACATGAAAAGTCTTAGAAAATCTTTCTGCCTCTCTTGTTAAATTTCCAAAAATGTCAGTCAGTATCACTCTTTTCATTAACTTTTTGAGTTGAACAAATAATAGTTATCTTTATAAAATGTTTATGTTCACATATAACAGGTTTTTTGTTAGTGAATTAATACATGTGTTTTCTGTACCAATTTTTAATACAGTGACTATCCATAGATGTAACTCATAAAAACAAAACAGTATGTCAATCGATGTAACCCACATATTGAAGTATCTAAAACTTTTTTAAAGATTTTAAATGATTCTTGAGACCAAAGAGATTGAGATCTACTTTCCTGGAAGTGACTGATATAGATAGTTATCTTCACTGTGGCAAAGTCATCATTCAAGATGATTCCTTTCATGTTTTTTCCTTATCACAGGATTTTGATTATTAGAAAGGAAGTTGGCTACCTGCATTTAGTTGATTTTCTCGGTAAAACTCGTTGAAAATTTTGATCCTGATACATAAGGTTAATGTCATTTGTCTAGCTTATAGACAAAAACAAGAAAGATAGATGGGTAAATATGTATCTGGCATTGTAACTTCTGTAGCTTAGTACAGATATTATATGACTTTAAACCTCCATGATAATACAGTTTTGTGCATATTATGCCTAAACTATCTTGAATCATACACTTCTGTGATTAAAAAATTGTTTAGCACAGGTAACATATTAATTTTATGTATTAATGCTTCATCACAGAGGGCAATGAGAGTAAATGTGGAATATATTAAATTTGATATGTGCTGACATGCTTATTTTCATTAGTGTAAACTATGTTTTTAGGGAAAACCTTTGCAAGTTTAAATCAATTAAAAATTACTCCACAGAATGAAATGTTTGATGCCTTCTATGGTGAGATCCACATTTTCTGAGCATTCTATATTGTTTGTGGAAATTTGGTTGAGGATCAGGCTAGATCAGAGAAAGGAAAGTGAATACGGTAGTAGTTTTAACCTTTTAGCACTTTCAGTTTAGAAATACTAGTGATATTCTGTAAAATGTGTCACTTGATTTAAGCTCTTTTTCATTCTCATTTATTTTAGAAGATAGCTTTATTTTTATAGAAACCTACCTTTTGTTAATATGTGGAATCTCTTGCTTAATCTAATGTAAATGTAGTATGAACTGTTGCTGGCTTTCTGTGAGAAATGTTAAAACATTGTTTTTTTTGTACTGGCAATTGATACTTGGCTCCTTGCACTAAGGGTTATATCACCAGCAACTGAAAAACATTTATAACCATTGTGATAGAGTAGTTTTAAAATTTTATTTTTTATATAATTCATTTTTTGTTTTACATTTTGATACAGTGTCTTGCAAAAATTGGCTATGCTGGGCTCAAATCTCTAGTCCTCTTACTTCATTTTTCCCAGATGGCTGGGATTACTGGACTGTGCCACCTCACCTGGCCTAAATAATTAATTTTGGTTATAAATTATTAAACTAATATCTGCAGTGAATTGGAGGAAAGAGATAAAAAGACTCTTGTACAGAGAAAAAGTGAGAAACACTACCCTGGGTAAATGTGCAAACTATAATCCTCAAATAGTCCTTTAATTTAGTTTTCATCTAAAGGTTTAGTTTCAAGTAGGAGAAAGCAGAGATCTCACAAAGTACAGAAATACACATAGGTGAGTGATCAGTCTCTGAATAGACAAATCTGTTATATGGTGCAAAGAGAGGTACAGAGAGATAAAGAGAGGAAGGCAGAGAGAAAGACAGAGAGGGAGAGAGAGAGAGAGAGAGAGAGAGAGAGAGAGAGAGAGAGAGAGAGAGAGAGAGAGAGAGACAGAGAGAGAGAGACAGAGAGAGAGAGACAGAGACAGAAACAGAGAGAGAAAAAGAGAGAGAGAGAGAGAGAGACAGACAGACAGACAGACAGACAGACAGAGACAGAGAGAGTTAGAGACAGGGAGAGAGCAAAAGAGAGACAGGTAGACAGACATAAAATGCAAATTTTCTCTAAATTCTTCTATTAGGTATTTCTTCTTAGAAAGAAGACTGGGCCTGATGCTGGGCAGCTGTATGCAATGAAGGTATTTTAAAAAGCTTCTTTAAAAGGTACAACATTAGAATGCTTATTAAAATAGAATTGGAAAAAATCTGTTTTTTGAAATATGATGTACCTTGCTATTACAAGGTAAGTAGATGTAGTTTGTAACATTAGTAATTGTTACAGATTTCTTGAGAGTGAGTGATACTTTCAGAGTTTGATATTGACATATGCTTTAATTTACTGTGACCTGGTAAATATTTAATGCTAGGAAATGTGACATATGTATGTAATCAATATGAACTTAATGTTATGCATTATTCTTTGCTTTCAAAATTTTTGTTTTACCATTTTGTCTAGTTACTATACAGAGAAAACACAATCACTTCTAAACATGTATAAATACTATCTTGTAGGCTGTGATAAAAATACCACTATGATTAAGTCAGAGGGTATAGGCAACTACTTTGAAGGCAATAAGATTCACTAAGATGCCCATTCTGGTTTGACTATTGTCTCCTTTGGAAGTCCTGTAATGTTTACAATGCCTAAATTTTATTGGTCTTGTTCTCTACTGTTTTGTCCAACTTTATAATATCTAATGAGATAGACAAATCTTTTTTAAGGAAACAAGAGACAACGTTGATAACCATTGTTAATAATCTTGTACTCTGTTCTACATCATGTGCTATGTCTATCCTTGGTTTTGACTGACAGCTTTGTTTTGCCATATTTGACTTTATTCTCTCCCCCCCCAAAAAAGTAATAAGAACTAAGGAGTAATAAAATCCAAAATGTGTAAATTTTGTTGTAAAAAAGAAAGGAAGGAAAAAAAAAGAGCTCTAATGGATATAACAGCAAGTGTGTTTAGGGGTGTTAAATAGCTGACTATATTAATGTTTTTGGATCATTGAACACAGCTGTTTGCAGTCTCTCTGTTTGAATGTCTACTTTGTATTCTTTGATACTGTGATTTGAGCAACTATTTCCAAGATGATAATATGTAATCTATTAACAGGTGATTTCTTACTGTTATTTTTTTTTGTAGTTCTGTATTATGTGTAACCTTACACTGCTTTGTTTTGTTTTGTGTTTTTCTCTTTTTCCTCTTAAATAAAAAAAATACCACTATGCTCAATTTTAATTAACAAACCCATTTGAACTAATAAAGTCTTATATATAATAAAAGCATATTAGTCAAGTACCTATTTATGCCATTTAAACCCATTTCTAGATATAAACTGAATTTGTTCAATTTTTGACAATATTGTCATTTTAATGGAATATAGAGAATGTTGTAGAATGTAAATTTAGGCACATATGAAATTATATTTTGATTAGTAAACTGTTGGTCAAATCTTTATAAAATTTATAAGTTTTTGTAAATTTATAAAAAAGTATTGGTTTATTCTCTTAGTTCGAGACAGAGTTCGGTCGAAGATGGAGAGGGATATACTAGTGGAAGTAAGGCATCCATTTATTGTCAAACTGCGCTATGGTATGTAGTCTTTCTCTTACTTATGGAATTAGAGAATAAATAATTGAATTTCAATAGCTAGCTTTCAACTTTATTTATAAATATTTTAGTTAAGTTTCATTTCCAAATAAATTTCAATAGCTAGCTTTCAGTTTCATTTTTAAGTATTTTATTGTAGTTTAATTTCCAAATATTTTATTTCATTTTCTAAAGTTAGTTAATTTGTGTAAGGTAACAAGCTAGTGTCTTCCACTTACTTGCCAAAGTAGTATTTCTCTAGTAAGCTGTATCTCCGTTCATGTTATGCTATAAACTGCTGTAATAACTTATGGAAGGCATTTGGATATTTGTTTCTGATAGCCATATTAATCTTATTATCTGGTTCTGTTAAAGCAGACCATATTGTTAAACTGTATTTATTTTAACTACTTTTCATACATAGGAGGAGAGGAATATTAGTAAGAAGCAGTGGGGAATATGTAGAAAACTTGAGGCTTGGAGTCACACATTTCTAAATTCGAATCATGGTTCTTTTGCTAATACATCCATGAGATTTTCTTCTCTAGGCAGAAAAAGGATAAAGAAGTAAACAGATAAAATCAAATCACAGCATACTATGTACCTTTCAGTTTTCTACATTTAAAATACAGTAGCTATTGATTTTATTCTCAGTATAATTTTGATAATATGTTAGTTACTCAATGTTTTTGGAAAAATAACCCACAAGAAGTTGTTATCAATTACCCTTTAACTTTTGTTACCCTAATAATATAATAGTGTTAGTAATTTATGACATCCTCAAATTTCTTGTATGACATAAGATCAGTCACTAACACCTATTATGTACAAAATAGTGTTATTAAATGCAGTAGACTATAGAAGTGAAGTAATCTGTGACCTTATAAATTTTATAATATATAGGAAACATAAGCATGTAAATAAATTAATTGCACAGTGAGTAAATCTTTTGAATATAACTATGCAAAATAACAAACTTAGTTATGTTCCTGCCACCCTGTTTTGAAAGCCTATATTGTTATTGTTTTGGGCTATATATTATTGGTATTTATTTGTCTTTTTTGTTTCTTGTATTTTGTTTTGTTTTATTCTGTTTTTCCCTCTAAAACAGAAAGGATAGATGTACACGTATAGGCTTATGCATGCTTGGATCTTCTACTAAAGAGTTTAAAAGAGTTGATTGTATCACTTGTGATGGTATCAACAACTACTCAGAAGAAATAGAGACATTATGGTAGATGTTACTAATTTTCTACCATCTTGTTTTGAAGTACAATAATGTTTTTATTCTTCATTTTGATTGGTTTTAGTCTGTTTTCGATTATTTTATTTCAGTATGTGTGAAGGCATGGACAGCTATTTTGAAGAGAAAAAGAGACCTTATGGTAGCCATTGTCAATTTTCTTATTGTCTGATTTTGAAGGCCTGTAATGCTTTCATTCTTTGGTTTGAACGGTTTTATACTATTCTGTTTTATTTATTGTGTGTGAAAGTATGAACAACTATTTAGAAAGAAATAAGAGGACATTATGGTAGCCACTGTTGATTTCTTTTTGTCTTGTTTTGAAATTCTGTGTTGCTTGCATTGTTTTATTCTGGTCTGCTTTGTTTTGTTTTAGTCTCTTTAAAAAAAAAATAATAATTGCACCAAAGGGGGAAAAAAACCCCAAAAAATCAAGGGGCTGGTGGTTGAGCTCAGTGGCATAAGTGCCTGCAAACACGAAATCGTGAATTCAATACCAGGTACCAAAAAAAAAAAAAAAATGCAAAAATAAAAATGTAGTAAGTACTATAAAAAGGCATAAATAAAGTATGGTGAGATCTCAAAGGTTGCAGCAAATAGTTTTGATGAGAATAGGGCTAAGGCTGCTGTAAGTAAAGTTGAAAAAAGAGAAATCCTGGAAAGTTCAATACAAGAGTGGTGGCATTTTTTGTTGAGCTGTACAGAATTATTAGTTTTTCAGTATATGATCAGAACATAAATTTCAGCCAAATGCAGAAGACTACTGTGCTTCATAAATCAGGAAAATACTGATAGAAGTTCGGGTATAAAGCCTCATGCAAAATTGGTTATATTCTTGGAAGGAATGTATAGCTATTTAACACTCAATTAAACATCAAATTTAATTGTGAAATAATGTTACCTAATAATGGACCATGTGTATTCATACTTAATTGCTTCATTGTATTTAGTGATAAAATTTCAAACAGATAAACTAAAAAGTATATATTGAGTAAAGTGTATATTAAGATTTTCAAACACTTAAGATTATTTTGTTGTCGCATTATAATTTCTAATTAGCCTGTCAGACTGAAGGAAAGCTGTATATGATACTGGACTTTCTCAGGGGAGGGGATGTCTTCACAAGATTATCCAGGGAGGTGAGTATTTGTAAATTTTGACTCTATTTTGTTGAAACAAAATTAAGCAAAAAAAACATTATTCCTATGGAAATTTTAAATGGTGGTTATTCATTTGTTGCCTTGCATAGTACTTAGTTATGTGCCAATGAACAGTACTTTTTAACCTCCTTGTCATTTAGAGCATCTCAATGTGCTATTCATTGTTTTTAGACACAAGAACAATATGAATTACTGGGTGACGTATGCAGGAACAAGCCTATGACTTTGGCTATTCAAGCAACCTAAATATCTCTTGGAGTAGAGTTTATTAATCTAAAAATGGAATTATTGAGGTATAATTGACATACAATAAACCACACATATTTAAATATACAATTTGGTAAATTTTGACATTTACATATACCCATGAATCTGTAAAATAAATAAAATTACTCAGCAGATCCAATATTTCCAACAGTTTTCTTATGTGCCCTTGTAATGCCTTCTTCCCACTGTGAATCTGCTGAATAGACTTTCTGTCACTATTTGGTTTGCTTTAGCAGGAGTTTGTGTAAATAGAATCATACCTTGATTCATGAACAATTTTCTTTGCAGATAATTGGTTTGGCAAGTAAAAGTGTTTGGAAAAATGTTATTTTTGTTTGCAAATTCTGCCTTAGGTGGGAAACAGGAGCACAGCCATCTTTCCTATATAGCCACAAATGTAGCCATTTTTTTCTAAAATCATAGAACAATCTAAGTTTGAGAACTGAGGTATCACTGTGTGTTATTTTTGTTCTGCTTAAAGCAACATTATTTTTTATCCATGTTGTATGTATCAATAGTTCATTCATTTTTATTGCTAAATAGTATTAGCATCGTGTGGATACACCATGATATGTTTATTCATTTGTTGATGGATGTTTATTTTGTTGCAGCTTTGGTGTGTTACCAATAAAGCTGCTGTGAGCACTCATATACAAGTGCTTATATGGACATATGTTTTCTTGTCTCATGAGTAATTATTAGGAATATAATGATTGAATCATATTAGATATATGTTTAACTGTTAACTACACTGCGAAACTGGTTTTCAAAGTGGTTATCTAATGTTTAAATTGCCAACCACAGTGTAGGAGTTTCATTTGCTTCACATCCTTGCCAACAATTGGTACAGTCAGTCTTTAAAGTTTGGCTGATAAGTATGTGCTAATACTTCATTGTAGTTCTGAATTTCATCATAGTTATTATTAATAAAGTTAAGCATCTTTTCCTGCACTTATTTTCATATCTATTTTTCTTCTTTGGTTAAGTATTTACTCAAACCTTTTGACTTTTTAGTAGAATTGTTTGTTTCTTATAGAGTTTTGGGAGTTTCTCATATATATTGGATGTAAGTCTTCAATCATATATGTTGTTTGCAAATATTTTCTTTTGGTTTATGCTTTCTTTTCAATATCTTAATGGTATCTTTTGAGAAGTAGAATATAATAATTTTGATGGAATCACATTATGCTTGCTTCTATTTATTAATTGTATTTTTAATATTCTGTTTACGGAATATTTGCCTAATCCCAGGTAAAGATTTTCTCGTATGTATTCTAGAGTGTCTATAGTTTAGGTTTTACTTTTAAATTTCTGATCCATTTTGAGTTAAGGCTATAGGTATGTGTTGAAATCTTTTTTTTTTGTTGTTTTGTTTTGTTTTTTGTTTATACAAGGGATCAAACTCATGACCTTACATTTGCCAAACAGGTGCATAAGTCACTGAGCTAAAGCCCTAGCCTTTAAGTTTTTTTTCAATTTTATTTAGTCATTTTTGCAGAGAGACATTCGGTTTTTCTGACCTCATAATTTAAAAGGTATATTCTTCATTTATTAACTTACTTTGCATTTATTTATCAAAACCAATTGATGATATATGTGAAGCTCAATTTTTAGATACTCTAACTTGTTCATTGATCCATTTCTTTATCTTTGTCATAGTATTCCATTGTCTTGATTACTGTAAATTTAAAATAGATTTTGACAGGAGGTACTGCAATTCTTGAACTTTTCTTTTGAAAAGTTGTTTTGATTCTTTTAGGTCATTTCATTTTCTTTTCAATTTAAAGCGGACTTTTCACTTTCTGAATAAAGCCAGCTGAGATTTGGATTGTGATTGCAGGAATCCTTAGATCAATATCAAATGAGTGAAGCTTTAAAAATACCGAGTGTTTTAATCCATAAATATGTATTTCCTCTTCATTTATTTAGCACTCATTTTTCTCAGCAATTATTTGTTTTCATTATATAACTCACAATCTTTTATCAAATTAATCTCTAAATAGTTCCTACATTTTTAAATTCTATTTTAAATAGAATTGATAATTTCAGTTTCAGATTGGTTGGAACAATTGATTTTTCTTATTTCGAGCTTATTTTCCATAATCTAACTCAACAAACTCACTTCTCCTAACAATTTTTTCTGTAAATTTTAAAGGCTTTTCTATTTTTATTTGTTTATTAAAGAGTGTTCATTTTTCTTTTCCAGTACGCACATTTCTTTCTTTTATTTGTCTTTATCACAGTGGCTTGAACACTCCAGTCAAGTGTTGAGTGGAAATAGATGCCTTGTTTCAAATCTTAGGTTGAGGCGCAATTTCACAATAAATTTTGAAGTCAAATATAATATGTTTGGAAGATTTTTCTTGGGTTAAGTTTCCTTCTCTTACTGCACAGAAATTTTTTTTTTCTTAAAATGGGTGTCAAAAATGTTTAAGTGCGTTTTCTGCCATTACTGAGATTTTTTTTTCTTTTTTAATCTTTGCATTTATTGATGAATCTCACTAACTCATGAATCTTTTGAATATTTTAGATCATATTTGCCAAATGTTTGTAAAGAATTTTTGTATCTGTTCTCATGAGGGATATTTGACTATAAATGTCTTGTATTATTTTTGTCTGTTTCTGATATCACAGTAATACTGGATTTATAAGATGATTTGAGTAGGGTTTTTACCTCTCGAACTTTTAGAAAGGATTTATGTAGATTGAAAGATGATTATTTTTAAATGATTGGAAAAATTCACCTGAAATGGCTTTTGAACTTGGAAGTTTCTTTATAGTAAGATATTTAAAAATAAATTCAATTTGTAGGATAGGCTTAGGGTTATACTTTTTAATTTTTTAATTTTAAATAGATTAAGACAAAAGAGGACAGAACAAAGCAGATCATAACAGAACAATGTAAGCAACACAGTATTTCACCACAAGACAACCTGATATTAAAAGTAGCTACCGTAATGTCTCTTTATTTGAAATAGTTGAGCACACCTTCACACACAATAATATAAAACATAACAAAATAGTATAAAACCATTTAAGAGAATGAAAGTATTACAGGGCATTCAGAACCAAATAACCGAAAACGAAAAATGGCTACTATATTATCTCATTTTCCGTAAAAAAATGTTTATACTATCACACATAAGATACAACATGATAGAATCAATGGAAACAGAAGGACAGAGGCATGATAGAACTTCAAAGAAAGAAGATATTAAATCAGCAATGGCTATCATAATATCTTGTTTTCTTCAAAATAGGACTATTCTTTATAATTGAGTAAACTTCCCTGCCTTGTATCTTTCCAGAAGTTTATGTATTTCATCAAATTTATCATATTTATAGATATAACATTGTTCATAATATTCTCTGTGAAATTACTAGTGGTATCACTGTTCTCAGTTCTGATGTTGGTAATTTATATCCTCATATGTTTTTTCCTGTCTAGCCTTATTAGATATTTATCAGTTTTATTTTTTCTTCTTCTAAGAACCAGATTTATATTTCTATGTTCTATGTTATTATTTTCTTTTCTTCCTTTTTTTTTTTTTTTTTGATACCAGGATCAAACTCACGACCTTGCATTTACCAAGCAGGTGCTTATGCCACTGAGCTAAACACCTGGCCCTATGTTATTATTTTCTACTTTAATCTTTATTCTTGCTTACATTTTCTATCTGTAGGTTTTGTTGTATAATTTTTTAAATGGAAGTTTAAGTTATGGATTTGAGGCATTTTTATCTTTTCTGATGAACATTGTATTATGATTCCCTTCTAATCACTGCTGTAGTATCATCTCAAGAGTTTTGTTAGATGGCTTCTTTCCCTGTTATCTCAACGTACTTTTTAATTTTCTTTGACTCTGTGGGTTTTTTGTAAGTATGTTATTTAATTTACAAATATTCGGGTATTTTCTAGATAGCTTTCTAATTGTCATTTTTAATTTTAGGCATAAATCATATTTTGTATAACTTGAATTGGCTTAAATTTACTTGTATTTTCTTTATGCTCCCGAATATGGTATGTCTTAGAAAATATTGCATGTGCATTTGAAAAGAATAAATATTCTGCCTCTACTGGATGATGGAAGTTTCTATAAATGTTAATTAAGTCAAGTTTGTTAATATATGTATTAAATTGATCATGTACTTATTAATTTTCTGCCTACATTTTTATAAATTAAAATGTCTTTGATTTATACACAGTAACTATATAGATTTAAATTTTAGAGACAGATGGACAGTTTTCAATATGATTATGTATTTGTGTATTTCTTGCAGTTATATCACTTTTTCCTTCATGAATTTTAAAATTCTGTTGTTAGGTATATAAACCTTTACAGATATCATTTCTTCTTGATAAATTGGCCCTTTGTATGAGGTACTTTTTTTTTCTTTGAATTCTTCTTTGATATTAATATGGTTAATACAGCTTTGTAAAAAGTGTTATCTTCATGTATTTCTCACATACTTTAATTTTAACCTATTTTTGTTTTCACATTTTAATTTATGATATTTAAGGGAACATACAGCCACCTTGGTTTTCATCTTGTGTGAAAATCTGAGCCTTTTAATTAAGATATTATACCTGTCATATTTAATATGATTATTGACATCTATTATCTTGCTATTTATTTTAAATCTCATCTGTTCTCTGGCCTTTTTAATTTTTTAAATTTTATTTTATCATTCCTGTTGCCTTGTCATTATTAA